AGGATTATCACGAAGACTAGAGATGTTTGTGTTTTGCATGATCCTAAGTAAGAGCTACTAATAATTCACAAAGATAATTACCATAATAATTTTAATTTGACATTCAGCTGTTTATGATAGAATAGGGATTATACAACAGTGGAAAGAATGAGCTCAGAATCAAGAGATTTGAACTCTAGGCCAAGCTCTGCCATTAACTAGCATAAATGGTATGCCTTAAATACAGTCCTTCTCTCTCAGTTTTATCGTTTATAGGTTAAGGATTTCATCTAAAATCTGGCCTCCAAATGATCTCTACAGTTCTCTGACCAAAACATACATGATTCTGCAAGATGGATGCATTATACACTAGTTATTCCCTCTTTCTAGATAAGAACACACCCCAAGGAGTATCTGAGCAAATCTTTTAAGTGGGAGAATATAGTAGAACTTTAAATTACAGCTATATTACTTAAAAGTAAATACCACTTCACTAATATTTACTATATAGATTGAAAGTGCATCTTTGCAGAAAGCCAAATAATCAAGTCATGTGTCCCATGTGGCAAAGGGAGTGGTAATTTCTTCACACAGAAAGACTGAGAGTAGCACCCACATTTCTCCATTCACTTGTAGCATCGTGCAATGCTCTATAGTCTATCTATGTCCAGTTTAACTTCTGAAGCAGCCATCCTAAGGTTAGAAAAAAAAATGACACATTATTTTTCTTACCATGCTCTCTGATTCTATTTGAGTTTTAGAACTTGGCCTAGATATTTTTTTACCCCTCTCTCATATACTATTCCACTTCCTCACCTGACCTCAATATTTTCATCATGAATTTAATACTATAGTCTTTATGTTCTACCACTCAGCATCCTACACACATATTTTATTTCTACAGTCATTCACCATTGTAAAGTAACAATTCAAGTCATGAAAGTGAAAATGATAATTTATTTCTTTGGCTTCCATGTGTACTTTTTGCTTCCATGTGTAATAAGTATGTTTTATTTAAATGATTACTATATCTCAATTATAATTCAAGTAAATACCAATATTACTTAGCCAACCTATGTGCTCTTTTTGTTACTCTGAAACTTTAGTCCCATTTTCCTTTCACTGATTTACTAATATCAAAGATTTTCATAACTGTTTTTACACAAATAAAATAACAATAAATCAGACCATTTGAAATTCTGGAATTAGCATTTTTAAGTTGCTCAATTCCACCAGCTACACTATAGTATCAAATTACCTTTTAAAAGTTGTCTTTACTTTATTTCCATACCTCAGGACAGTTTTATGAGTAAGTTCCACTTAAAATGAGTTCCTTTTAGAATATCAGAATTTTATAATGAGTTCTACATGGACCCACTACATAGCACCTAAGATTAAATGGCAAGACATATAAATATTTTTTTATAAAATTACCTCCTAAAAGCCTCTTCCATGGCCTTGTAATTTAAATTGCCAGATTACTCTTAGAAGCAAATTCAACACTGAATGTCAACAGAAAATTTGAAGTCATGAGCAATATCCTAAATTCCCGGCTTCATGTTTTTAAATGATTAAAACTATTATTACTGAAGTGATGTCAGCATCATGATTGTCACATATATTTCCTATATGTACCCATCTCAAAGAGCTTGTAAGAATGATGAAATATTTGAGAAGAAAACAACAGTCTCTCAAGAAATTACATTGACTGTGAGATGCATGTGGACAGAGTTTCATCCATCTTGTTCTTTTCTATATCCCCGGCATCAAGAACATATTTGACCAATAGTAGGCATTTGATAAATGAGTAATTTTTTTGGAACATGGCTTGTTGTAATAGCTTCAAACATAACAGTCAGGTACTATTGAAGCTAGCCTATACTCTGGGCTTACCTGAGTTGAACTCCCTAACCCTAAGAGTGACTGGGGCCTATACAATGCAGTGAGGCCTTGACCAGCAAAAGAAAATTATCAGTTTAAAGAAGAGCTGAGAGAAAAGGAAAACACATCAGGGTCTCCTCCACACACCTTCTTAAGGAGTACTTTATATATACTAAACAAAGGTACACCTAGGGGGCTTAAAAAGAATCTTTTCCTCCCTTTTGCTGAAATAAAAAATCATACGTTCACTCATTTGGCATACTTGTCTATTCTTATGATTTTTCTTTCTCTCTGACTTCTCCATCTACCTATGTCTGACTGCTCTGTCCCAGATCTAATCTAGGTTTTTTTTATGGCCTTCTGCTTAGCTTTCCTGCCATACTACAGACTCCACAGCTAGAACTAAAAATCCCACCTCCATCTCCACCACACAGCGTTTTCTGGTATTCCATTTCCCCACTTTTCCTTCTTAGGGCATAGCACTGACAAGCCACCGTCCATAAGACCTGAAACCTAGAACCATCTCAATGTCTATATTTCCATCAATAATAATAGCAGCTTTTACAGAATACTTACTACTACTAAATGTCAGGTACTGGACATATGTTATTTCATTTACTCATCTACAAACCTCAAGAGATAAGTATCATCCCCTTCCCATTTTTCAGTTGAAGAAACTCAGGCTTATCCCTTTACCTCTATATCACAGCATATAAACAGCAATGCTGGGACCTACAGACTGTGTTTCTAAATACAATGCCATACTGCCTCTCACATAATTATTTGCAAATTTTCTAAAACAGAACCCAAAGTTGTTTCTCTCTTTTTCTTCCAAGCATAAAAGGCCAGTCCAGGATCTGATTATAATAAGCCTGATTAATAATGTCATGTTGGAAAAAAAAAAAACCACACTGCTTTTGTTCTGAACCAGTTTCAGAAGACCTATATTCTAGCCCTGGCTTCATCCCTATGTGAACATAGATACGTTATTCAAACTCCATGTGCTTTAATTTCTCATCTTTAAAATTAAGATAATAAAATCTGCTTTAACATGATTGTTTTCAGAACTAAAAAAAAAAATCCATAAAAGCAATTGAGGAAGTTGAAAATACTATGCAAATACAAGTAGGCCAATAATTCAGCATCCTTTCTATCTTCTTGGGCTTTTTTTCTTTCTTTCTTTCTTATAATGAACTGCTAATATAATCCTTCCTTGTCATTAAACTATGCAACTATTCTATTCTTGCAAACTTTTGACTCTTCAAAAATTCCATCAACTTATTATAGACCTTCTTTTCTAGACAAACTTGTATTTTCTATGATCTTTTAAGCCACAGATTGTCTATCTAGCCCATAATATCATTCTCTTCTAAATTTCTCATTTGCTCCAAAATTCTTCAACTGTTCCGACAAGTGACAACTCACACACCACATTAAAATAATTTCAGGTTGCTTTTCTAGGACAATTCCCAACCCCCTTCCCCTAAAACAAGGTTTTCCCCTGTGTCTTAATCTTCCCTAATTCCCCATCCCCCAATTCCTATGATGAGCTCCTGTCATCTAGGGAACAATAATTCTGATAGTCTTGACACCCTTTACTCTCAGTACTCACAGAATCCTAATTTATGTGTCTACACAAGTTTGAAAAGACAGACAAACCTTTTACTCTCATTCTATAAAATAACTCCTCTCTGATCTGCAAAGAAATGTCTCTACTTTTAAGCAACCAGGCTAACTGGCATGCTTTCCTCTCCACCCTCCCATACCCCTCACTCCTCTTCCCCCACCCCCCACACCACACACACACACACACACACACACACACACACACACACACACACACTGTCCCCGCCCTTTAACTAGGCTCCATTCTTATGGTGACTCCTGATTCTTCCTATCTCCCTGCTTCCTCCCTGCCCAAATCTGGCATCCTGAGGAAAACTGGGCATGCTCAATGACCAAAGTTGATTCCGGGATGCAAACTGGAATCTTTTGCAGATTTTGAGCCAGTAGGAGTGGTAAGGGCCTAAGAATACAGCGGCCCTGAATTTGCCCACTCCCCATGGAGGTATTCTTTGATTTAAAGATGTGTTCAACGCCTGGGAATAGACTGGAAAATGGACAGCTTCCTGCCAGTCCCCACTCTGCTAGGTGGGTCACGGACCTGAGTAGCTGAGAGCTGAGCACAACCTGGTTTGGCGCAGGGAGGAGATGTCTGCTATTCTGAGCTGTGACAGCTCTGATGGACGGCTGGAAGCTTTCATTTGGCATCTCTGCTGCATCAAGAAAATACCGTTGGGGCTTTTTCCTTTTTTTTCTCTTCTTGAATACAGTAACATCAGATGCCCCAGGGTGAGAAAGAAGATGCTGTCTGAGGATCTACAAAGTCTGAGCTAGCCAGAGAGATTTGAGCAGAAGACAGATAAATCAACTACTGACCCAAGAATTAGGCCGAGGGAGGAGGCGCAAAGACCCAGCAATAAACAAGCTATTTCCAGATGAGCATTCAGGAACCCTTCAGATATTCAAATCTGGATTGTATACCTGTTCCCCAAAATGCATTCCATCTTTGTATGTAAACCATGACACATTTCCCTTTGAGAGAGACTGAGAGAATACACACACACACACACACACACACACACACACACACGGAACGTGATCCTTCTGCTCGCCTTTCCCCTGGTTTCTGCAGAGACTAAATCTCTAAGCTGCAACAGCAGCCGGTTCACTTACCTCCCTGTGAGGGGCATGAAGCAGGAGGAGGAAATTTACCACGGATAAATATGATTAAAGGGGGCTTCTTTTCAGGGGCTTGAAACATCCCTGCACAGCCTGAGACACAGGCAGGGAAAGCCACACAGCTGCTAAAACCTAGCCATCCCTTCAAACAGCAGAAAACACAAGACATTTCATCACCATAGTGCATCCATATTGAGAGGGGGGGGAGAGAGAATCATGTGTTTTGCGTTATGCATTTCAGTCACCCAAAATGGGAGGAGACCCCTGTCCTTATGTCGTGGGAGCTATCCACCACCCCAAAAGTACACTCGCTGCACCTAGCTAGCAGACCGCTCGCCTGACAGGTTTTGCAGCAAACGCCGCCGGTTAAAGCTACATCACAGCAGGTTGTCTCTTACCGTAGGCAGCAGCGGCTCCATTTGGGCTCCCTGGTCTTTAATCTCCATGTTTTGTAACGCCGCTGGAATAAGCACCTTTCTCTGCAGTGGCTTCAGTGTCTTACACTCAGCCCGGCGCTCACTCTGCTTAGTATTCGGATCAGGTAGTTCTGAGGCAGGAGGCAATTGCACCCTCCAACTCACCAGAGTCACATGGCTCCTACTCACTCGGGCTGCTGGCCAGGTTTTGCACTGACTGCCTTGGATCCCTGGGCCAGCAAGAGAGATCTCTCAAAGCCTGTATCACTGCCCACACCTGGATACTGGTATAATATACAGCCTGCAGAGCTGCAAGTCTAATGAATCTCACCTAAGATGCTAACTTCTTACATAAACTAGTCTAAGGCGGACTCCAACAGCTCAGCCAGATTTTGGACACTTTGAGGCAATTCTCTTCATGCCCCTAAGAGGCATAATTCAAACAAGATGGCATTAATAAGGTTTACTAGTTGTTCCACTCTGAATACAGAGGGTCTTTAAAAACAGATAAAATGACATCAAAATTGATATCACTTAGTGAGCTAGAACAGTGCAGTAACAAGGAAATCAGACATTTAAATCCATTTTGACTCAATAAAAATTGGGTAGAAACTTTCAACATTTATTGTGATAAACTTAGGTAACTTATATCTGATTACAAATAAAATATATTTTCTATAATTTCTGACAAAAATAATAAGGAAATAAAATCACAATAGCAATGATGAAGATAATAAAGCACTTTGAAAAGATGATGAATCTGACAAGAGTAATCCAAGCATATCACCTTTTTGCCTTAAAAGTCTGAACAACAGAGAGGTAAGGGATGCTCTAACCCATGGGAGAAAAGGAATCAGTTAGATAAGCTCTTTTGTAGGGAGAAGTAATTGATAATTGTTGCTCAGTAACTACACATGTTTCCCAAGTTGATTTTGGGTCCTAGAGGACTTAAGTCATGAAGTCCACATATCACAGACTGAGAACATGGAGGTTAATAATGAAAGGGGGTTAAGAGAGGCTGACTGAAAATTATTAAGACAATTTATCTCAAATATGAAAATTTTCGACAGACTTTAAAAACCTATTATCAGCAGAAGTGAATATTATTTTCAGAACACACCAAAATTTCCCACAATGCTCAGCATAGATGGAAATATAGATAACTTTTATGGTTTCCCTCTCAATATAATTTTTTTTTTACTTTTTATTAATTTATTGGGGTAGTATTGGTTAACAAGATTATACCGGTTTTAGGTCACAATTCAACAACACATCATCTGTACACTGTATTGTGTGTTACCGCCCCGAGTCAATCAATACAATTCTTTATAATAAAATTCAAGTGTTTTTATAATAAAAAATGTTTAATCATAATAATTCATATATTTGAGTGGTAGTTTTGTGCTCAACACATTGAGATGATTCCAAGGTCTTAAATAATAGAATGTCTAATAAAGAATTGACTAACATGGGGTACAGCTTGACATTCTACCATGGACCGATGAATAAAAGCTCCATTTCCACTCAAATGACCATTACTAGATCATCACAAACAACTTATTAGAAAAAAAGTAACTTCTCTTTAGAAAGATTATTTTTTATCTCATTAGAAAACCCTAAGTCACTCCTTTTATACTTGTTCAAAAAACACATAAATATAACTAGAAAAACAATTTTCAAGAGTCAAAACAAAAACGAGGTGATTTTCAATTACTTTTAACCAATATTTTCCTACAATGTGTATTATTAAACCATATGTAGTAGGTACTTTGATGGAACCACCGTTTCTTGAGTCATTACTATATGCTAGAGCCACTATTTCTACCAGTGCAATAGAACTTTAGCCAGAGTTTCAATAGCAGTTGTTCAACCTCTAAAGATTAAGAAAGTCAGTATCTACAAAGTTCTCTGATCCAAGATGTTGAATGTGCCTAGAAAAAGAAAAAAAAAAGTGGAAAAGGAGAAAGTGATCCTCACTTAATCCACTACCTTTATCTCATAGCTCTAAAAGCTTTAGCATTAAGGACCATACTGGAGAGAATATATCCACATAATAAACAAGTCCCAATAAAGAAGATAAGTATAGAATTGATAACTGGTGGCAACAAAAGCATCACCAGGTAGTAGAATGTTTGCCAATAAAACGGTAGAATTTTATAGATAGACCCTTGGAGAGCAACTTCTCATTGATTTCCAAACTCCAGAGGTAATGAGAACAGAAGCTAGGGAAGAGGAAATCCGAACTGCATGAGGCTTTTTTTTTTTTCAACAACAAGCATCTTGTCCTGGAGATTCTAATGTATCCTTGCTAGTAGAGGTAGTAGCTAAGAATGTACTTTTTGAAAAATGCTTCCAGGTAACTTATATGTCTCTAAATCCAAATCTCTTTCCACTACAGTCAAGTTTTATTGGATTCCAGGTGTTTAAAAATGGGCTCCTGGTTGGCTTGTTATTCAGAAATCCAATGAGATTTCATCAGTCCAATCTGACAGCCATAATGTCAAACATTGAATTAAGTATTGCAATATTGATTCTGTCCAAGGAACTGAATGTTCCAGACACACCACTAGAATGAGACAATAGTCTGATTTCATTCCGTCAGTCCTACTATGTGGGAGGCACTGTGCTACTGATGCTGCTTCCTGTCGTACCCAGCAAAATTAAAGTGGAATTTTCCTCTCTGAAGAATGAATAAAAGCGACCGGCCAGAAGCCAACCATACAGACAGAGGAATTACAGAAAGCACTGAACGGAAGAGCCACCTTCCTCTCCAGCTGCCCAGGTGGTGGCCAGTAGGAAAGGAACACAGCCACCATGGTGTGCTTTCTTCCTTGATTTGTCCTGCATCCTGGGACTCTTGCTGACCTCGATTTTTACTAATCCCCCAAGGATGCAAGTTAGCATGGATCCAATGTCCTTTTAGTTCCTACCTCCTTTTGCTATTTCAAGTCCTGGGGGTTAAGATATGCACATTAATACAATGTTTCTCTTAGAAAAGAGGCTATCTAGCATTAATTGTATTTGAGGAAGACACTGGACTCAAAAGGTGATTGTCAACACTAGTATTTCAAAAAAAACACTTTTCGATCCTGGTAGTATTAGGTTTCTGGCTTAGATCTCAAAGCCCTTTGTTTTTATCCTTTTTAGTACAAAAGAGCTAAACTTTAAGTAGGCAACAAGATCAAAAATGTACTCTGAAAATTATACTGCATTGATGATATTACTAGCTCAAGATTAATATTTCAAAAAATGACATGTAAATGTATCATAGCATTGTTTGTATCATTTATTTCTGTGTTATCCCTTTGTATAATACTTCTATCCTTTGTGACCTATTCAAATGTTCTGAACAACTTAAAGCACATAATGTAGATTTGGCAGACTTATCAATCCAAAAGTATTTAAGTGAATTTGACAAACTCAAGAAATAACAAAATGATCTTTCTTGACAGTTTAAAAAATGATGACATTTGCCCAGCCAGTGTGGTTCAGTGGCTAATGTCACTTATGAACCAGAGGCCAGGGTTCAATTCCCAATTAGGACACATGCCCAGTTTTCAGGCTTGATCCTGAGTAGGGAATGTGCAGGAGGCAGCCAATTGATGATTTTCTCTTATTTCTCTATGTCGCTCTTCTTTTCCCTTCCTCTCTGAAATCAATAAAAAAAAATTATATTTTTTAAAATGATGACATTTGACCATAAAAAAAGGTTAGAATGCCCACTCCAAAACCTGATATAAAATAAGAAACTTCATTATATAATACTAGAATTTAAAGGTAATGAATCTTGCCAAAACCAATTTGGCTCAGTGGTAGAGTGTCTGCCTGCGGACTGAGAGGTCCCAGGTTTGATTCCAGTCAAGGGCATGTACCTTGGTTATGGGCACATTCCCCAGTAGGGGGTGTGCAAGAGGCAGCTGATCAATGTTTCTCTCTCATCAATTTTCTAACACTCTATCCTTTTTTCTCCCTTCCTCTCTGTAAAAAATCAACAAAATATATTTTTAAAAATAAAATAAAAATAAAGGTAACGAATCATTTCTTTTTACAAATGTTCTTGACCACCAACCTGATAAGCATGATTCTAGGCATAAACTATCAGAAAAGGAAAGATAGGAAGGAAATAATTAGGAAGTCCATTCCAATGTTAGGTCAATGTCCAGATTTAGAAGACCCTTAAGTTCCACTTTTCTTAGCTCAGGACTGGATTTTCCAATCCTGAAGATTAGGACAAAGACTTGATTTTAATTCTTTGCCTTTAGGGTAGCATCTTAACTAAATTAATTTAATAAACATCTGAGCACCTATCATGTGCTAGCAACTATACATGAACAAACAAGACATAAACCCTGCACTCAAAGAAGTCATAGTTTAGAAGAGAAGAAACATGATTTGACAAGTGCTTAGGTAAAAATATGTGCAAACAGAGGTAGACCAGAAGACAAAATGATTAACTTTTAATAACATTTTTCTCACCCTTACAGTAGAGATTTAAAATCCATGGGGTATTTCTTTGTTTAAAAAAATCTAATTTTCCTTTGCTTGTTATGTAAACAAGAAGTATATGCATGCCTCAATATATTACTTCTCCAATTATCAGCCTGTAAGCCTAATTATCACTTGTCTTTGTTAAATGGTCCTGAATGTATCATTTGTATTCCTAACTTGAAAATAATCAATATCACACTTATTACAGAGTTAATCTCATAGCTAAATAATCCTTAACTTACCCCTTTTCTATGCCAATTTATAAAGATTTACACTAAAATAATCATTATTCAGTGTCCATGGTTAATTTTTACTATACATTCTCAAGTGATGACAAATAAGAAAAATATCTTGGTGTTTATTATTGAGTTTACACTGTCAAAGAAAGATGACAAATGTCACACAGGAAAAAAGGGGGTGGGGGAATCTAAACTCTTTCTCAGAGCAATTTCTCAGCTTCATCACAAGCAATCAAACTATTAGTGAACAATGTTCAGATACATATAATACATGATGTCAGATACATTTTATACATGTCTTAA